TATAAATTATTTGTTTGTTTATATACATATAATTTAATTAATTCATGATATTTAACAATAATTCCATGAACTATAATATTTTGACCATTCAATAGCTTCCAACATTCACATGTATTTTACTACTTTATAGCAATTTGTTAAAATAAATATGTTTACATACAATTTACAACTAGTAATATACAATCAGTAATCACAATTTTTTGATCATTTATCATAACTACCTACAAGGGATATTAAATGCGTGGTCCTTTAGCACTCTAAAAACTTACTTTTCTTTTAGCACGTCACGTTAATGCATTAATCAACATAGTAGTGCATTATAGATTTAGAAAAGTTCAAATATCTTTGAATTAAACATAAGGTGATAACTCGACTTTCTTACATTTTACATTTTTGGCTAAGAATTTTTTTTTAATAATAAGTTTTTCATTTTATTTTTTCTAATTAAAAATTTTATACAGACCCCATGAAAAATTGAATAGATACAAACTAATCAGGACCAGTTCAAATCGGTTTTTATTCAACTTTTAGTTATTAACATTGAAATTAAGTTGTGTGAAAAAACTTCCGATTTAATCAAAGTAGTCATATTTATTTATTACTTCAGTGTTTTTACAAGGCATAAACGTTGTTCAGTAATTTAATTAATTTAATAGAAATACAGATTTAATAATTTACACAAATAATAAAGATTAATAAAAAATAAATTAAAAAGTTCTGACAAATGTCAATAAGGGCCAAATCAAGTCATCTTTCATATAGTTGCTGGTGTATAACGGAATAAGAAAAAAGTATGATAAGGTAACTATAAAACTTATCATGGATATTGAAGACAATGAAGTGCATATGTACAATCTTCGAAGAAAATTAACACAAATACCTGCGATTAGCTATGAAGAAAATTATGAGACGAAATGAAAATATATAGAAAGGGTATGATTAATCCTAAACAAGAAAACCAATGAATCGTAAAAATCTACGTTGAATTATTTTCAATTGAACATAGTTCCAGAAAAGTAAAGGTTTCATGTATCAACTTCATATTCTAACGTAATATGTACGAGGAGAAATATTCATTTTTAATTGATAGATAAATTTAAAAAGTTTAGCATGACTAATAACGGCCAATCTCCACTAAACGAATGATCAAAGTAATTTTAAAGATTCAAACGATCATCGATAAAACCAACACGTAAATAAAATATAATATTAGCGGCAAAACAAAGTGCATGTACAACAATGGCGCAATTACGAATTACAGACATTATTTACAAATAGAGAATATAATAAAAATGGCAAACGACCACCCTGATTTATTAAAAGAAAATGGCTAGTGTATGAATATTTTTAAAATGGAATACAAAATTACATTGTTCGAAAAATTATTTTCCAAACCTCATTTAGATTAAAGAAAAAACTATAGCATTAGAATTTTTTTTGAAAACGATTATTCTTATTTACCTCTGCTTGTTTTAATATTTAATTACTAATATGAAAATGTTCCAAAGATATTATTTATGAAATAAATCATATTACATACATATTACAAATTAAAATTATAATTAGTGACTATTTAAAAAATACTGTCATAAATAAACATAGATATTTTTCTACCGTACATTTTGTGTGTGATAAAATATATATGATTATAGTGTTAATTTTAAAATTAAATTACCAAAAACAGCTGTAAAACATATTTCAAATATCTAAACTATTTATTTTATTTTATTGAAACCTTTACTGAAATAGAAAAAGTATAATTTCTTTATTAGATTTATACGCAGTATGAATAACTCATTTATTAAAATAATTTAACAGCATCAATATTGTATTTAACGCAGATAAAACAGTGACTTTGTTACATTAATCATAATCAAAAGGTGTCAAACTATGAATTACATTCAACGTGAAGTTATATAGTTTATAATAACAGTTCATGTTTATCTAATACATGTATATTTATGTAAAATATATTAAATATATAATTGAAACTCTGAACTTAAATTATATAAAATAAATAATTCAAAATGTCAGTAAAAATGTCTAGTGACTTTAATTTAAAGTAAAATTTTCAATGACTTTTATTTAAAAAAATATATTTAATGCTTAGTTTTTATTTTCTATTAAATAACATATAAAAATATCACTTCATTAGAACGTCCTTAACATGGGAAACTATTTATTTCTTGGACTTTATATCTTGAACTTCCATATTACTAAGTAACTAATACATAGGAACATAAAAGACGTATGATCTTTAAAAAATGTTTACACCGAGTATTTCAATACTAACTGGGGATTAATAAGTTATTTAAAATGTTGTTATTTAGTTATAAGTTATTACTTTATTGTGATTATCAAACGATTCCACAGGCGGGCGCTAGACGGCCAAGTAAAACAAATAAACGACGTCATTACATCTATATGTACTATCGAGTAACGCAATCAGACCTCCTCCGAAAATAAAAAAGAAAATATTGGTACAAAACGCCTGTCTCCTGGTTTATATTTTATCAGGGCTCCACATACAACCCATATGATAGCCATTTGGTAACTCTACGCTTATACTCAACAATGGAATAGCATGAGTTTAGGCACGCGCTTTATAACTGTCAGAAACTTACCTGGTTGGGTTTTCTCCCATCCGAATAGGATAGACTTCTCTTTACCAATATATTTTGTAAGATTAGTTTTCACACGATTAAAATACTAAAATATCTTATTATTATTATTATTATTAGTTGTAAAAACACCAATATATATAGTAGAAACTATATTAGTTTTAATTTTATTAAATATTTAATATTAGTTTTTTATGAAATTTGTCGTACAATTTAGTTTATAATCGGAAGTCGTTCTTCTTGGATTTTGTTTGACGGACGACAAAGAATTGATAAGCAGTTCAACACAAAGGCATATGTATATATTCATAATAACGAAAATAATACATAAAAAAAGGGTACTATAGAAAAAACTGTGCCAAATCGGGTGATATTTTTTACTCCTATTATGCTCCCTTATAAAGATCGCAAGTTGACGATTATCATTCGTTATAGCATAGTACAATTAAATATTTATGCGTCTATCGTGGTTCCATGAGCTTATTTTAGGGAGGAGCGAAAGAGCTGTCGCCCCCCCTGAATCCGTATTTAAATAATTGAGTATATGTGGGATACACATTTCAAATTTTTTTAATGTGGATCATTTTATAACGAAATCAAATTACGCATGTCTGTGAGTACTAACTTGAGCTTTTTGTCAGATCCATACTTAGTGAAAAATCAAATAAAACACAAGCGCAACTTTCGAAATACATTCAGGTGTTACAAAAGAACTACACAAAATTCCAAAATTCGATTCTAAGTGGATCCGGCATTAGATTAAAAAAAAAAAAACCACAAATATTAAGGATTCGCCTAATTTAAATACTATCAAAAATGTTACTTGTAAATTTTGAACCTAAATTAAAAAAAAAAAAATTGAGTTGTCCCCTGTAGAAGTAAGTCTAAATACGCCCCTGCCTAATTCGGTGATGTACACTATATAATCGCGACTCTCGACGTTACAATATCAATTATCGTAATAATAATAATATCAATTCAACAACAATGCACATCATACAGTAATAATACAGTACATAACATTTTACTATACCATTATTTTATGGAAGCATAACACTTTTTGGTTTTTGCGACAGGGGGAGGAGATATATCACGACGTTAACGGTCAATCATCATGTACACAATTTCAGTTGACGTATTATATTAGCGCAAAAACCTCAACGGCATGGTGAACGCGCATGTGTGTTATCTCCGCCTATCGTTCGGACCACCATAATTTTAATTTGTGTTTTAAAACGATTTACGAAAGTGATAGTCGATCCCTCGAGATCTCGCTTGGAGCTATAAATATTAATCAGGCCAATTCGGAGTGGATCTTGTGCAAAAATATAGTACTCCCAGTTATTAGTTATTAGTAGGGCTCGGGACTTCTAGGAACTTGCATGTTTTTAAATAATTATCAAAAACATAGCTAAGAAATATATAAATTTGTTTCATAGCAATACAAGTTTATATGTAAAATTTAAAGTTGCATATTTTGCATATTTGACCATTTTTCATTTATAAGTGCATATTTGACCATTTTTCATTTTATAAATGTATATTTGACAATTATTCATATGAAAGAAAAAGTTTTTAAATTTTATAAAAAAAAATTAAGATTTATTTCTTCATATATCACGTGACTTGAAACTCAAGGTGTCTTATTGGTGCGCTAACTGAATGCATTAAAATAATTAAAACTACAAAAAACGTATACATTATGCAAAAGTTGAAGAATCTGCACAAGCTAAGGCTAACTACAAAAAATATCGAACATTTTAAATGGAAAAATGAATCTATAGATGGATTGCCTGCAGATATTAGTAGTTGTGTCCACAATTTTTTAAGTTTGCACCAATAAGTTCCGTATACGTGTAACGTTCCTTTTCTAAATATAAAATTATTTTGGCTGATAACAGGCAGTCATTTAAATTTTTCAACTTAAGAAAATATCTTGTAGTCCAATGTAATTCTTAAGGTTAGAAGAATTATAACTATATTAAAAATAATAAAAATGTTTTTAATTTAATTTATTTTTAAAACCATTTTAAGTATTTTGTTTAAGATAAAAATTCAATATAAGATGAAAAAAAAATTGAAAAAAAAAAATTTATCTCAGATCATCATATCTATCATTTATAAAAATATTATTATAATTTATTACTAGTTAAATTTTTTTATTTAATTAATTATTACAAATATAATTTTTTTAAATACATATTTTAATAGCATATTTATTGATTCTTTAGGGCGTAAATGCATACATATTTTAAGGTTTTTAAGGGCACGAAGTCCCTAGCCCTAGTTATTAGAAAATTGGCTCCATCGCAGTAGTGAACGTTGGCTACGGTTGTGCGAACCAGTGAACAATCACGCAACACTACGGAAAGCACTAACCTGATGATAGTAGTTGTTCCGCGACGACGACAGCAGTGTTCTCGATTCGGCAACGGATGTCACACACGCGAGCGCGACGAACGCGATTGGATTCAAAACATGATCGAACCACTAGCACTTCAGCGCACGCACTAGCACACGAAACGAACAGCCGGTGTGACGATTGTTGTCGCGGTGATATTATATTATTGCGACGCAACACGGTTTCCACGAGATCTTCACTGATGCGACCGGGTGGCGGAGACGGCGATCGGAGACATCATGGTGAAACGAGAACACTGCGCGGGCGATGCACACACGATTATCGACTGTTATTATCCAAAACCGCGGCTCCTGTTTCCGGTGTTCGCGTACCGTTTTTCCGTCTTATTTTTCCGTACGCTCGCGGGGGGAGGGCTGAGGGTTCGTTGCGTATCGCGCGGAAGGGGACGAAATTCTGGGGGGGGGGGGGGGGAAGGGTGGGGGAAAAAAAAAAAAAAAAAAAAAGGGAAAAAACAATCGGCTCGTACGGCAGCGCGCGATCTTCCACTACCGACTACCCGGACTACGGTACTAGCACTGCCCCGCAAAAACGGCGGAACGGGAGACAACCGCCTCGCCGCCGCCGACCCTTCGGCGTTGTTGAGCGCGCTGGCAGCGCCTCCGCCGCCGGCGCGGTGGACCCCGAAGAGCGCGGGACTTGCGTGGAAACGGTCGGCGCGGGCAACACGTACGACGGCGGCGGCGCCCGGCAATCTTCGGAGGTTACGGCGGCCGGGGTAGCCGCCACACGCACACACACGGGCCACGAGGCGATGGTCGTACGCGTTCGCCGCACCGTCACGAAAATCGGTCGCGCAACCGATACGGTTACAATTAAAAAAAATTAGATAAACACGTTTACGTCAGCCAGTCGTTTTGCTCGTCTCTCGGAACCGTACGGAACCGCGTTTACGGTCGACCGTGTTCGGTTGATAACGTTCGAACGATTTTTCTCTCTTCCCCTCCCCACCACCGCGCGATTTCGCCGAAAACCCGCGCGGCCGATTACGTGATCTATTTTTTATGCGGGCCGTGATTTCGACCGAAACGTCGACAGTAAACTTTTCCGAGAAATATTGTTCGGAGACGCTTTATTGGCCGCCGCAAGAGGTACGGGCGCTGAGCTCCTTCGCGTCCCATTACTCCCCACGCTGCACATGTGTGTTTATTTGTTTCTCTGTGCGCGGCCCCTTCCGAATGCGACGTTACGCCGGTAAAGGGTTAACGGCGTGAGGAGACGTTTTATCTTTATCTTTATATCCGTGCACAACGTTTTTATTATAATATCGGTTTACCGGTACAACGCACGAGCTGAATAACGACCTTACATGCGTTCAACTGTAGTGATTCCGAACGCAGAAGTTGAAAAATATTGGAATTACGTGTACGCTTTTTTAAGTATTGAATTGGTGTTCCACATGAAATACACGTATGGGCTGCTGCATTGGGCGATGGAAAAGTTTCCTCTGTACATAAACGGCAATGATTACCTTGTACCAAATCATTGGTTTCACGTAGGATATTGATTGATATTTCGATTTTTAGTGGATTTTCATATGAAAATGTTTTATTTTGTCCAATTCTTAAAAGTGATGATCCACAAATCTCTAATATATGATGTTCAAGAAAAGATTCTATGCTCATAGGTAAATCCAAGTGATTTATAGTAACCTTCTCGAGTTAATGGAAACTTGATTCCACTGCTACTGAGCTTGAAGTTTTTTTACCTAATCCAAAAATGAGCACCATTATTCCAGACCACAACGACAGTAATTTCATACATTTTATGAAGTGTGGTAATAAAGCCGATAAATACATTGGGTTGATTCCATATCCTTCTTGAATAAGAGATTTACTTTTTTCATAGACTTTTTTCTGACCAAGATATAAATGGATTTTCAAGATTTAAGCCTTCATTTTTGTGTTGAAATTCTTCTTCCAGTATGCATAAGCATCATTTTTTGACTCAACATATGTCATAATACTATTAAACTCATTTTCAAATTCTACAAATCCAGTTGTTGTTGCTGTTAGTAATATTAATAATAAATAATAATAATAATAATAAACTCACTCACCCTTCACTCTACTTCCGGTTTACATAGTAAACCCAACACTAAAGAATTAAATAGGCTCAAATAATCTGTTCTTAGCCCATAACAATTGGATATTTCTAGAAGAAAGAAAAATAATTACTATTTTATCCAATTTCATTGTTATCTAATGTACTCGTTTGTAATGATGAATATTTAAAATAGAAATAATATGTTTGCAGTATACTTTAACATAAAAACTAATAATACAATTATGAATATAATAATATAAGAAACAGATTTTAAGCATACCGAATTCTTATAACTTTTGATAATATAATACTTTATATAATATGATATAAATAATATAATATTTACTTTTAAAAAAGTAAATAAAAAGGATGATTAAAAAAAAGAAGATTATATCAATGGACCTATACGAAAAAAATTCCAAATAAAATAATTTCTCACAATATCATACATATTATACACTAATTTTTTGTAAAATGTGTATTTTATCAGGAGGGAGGGGCTGGAATAACGTTTATCAAGCCCCTCCCGTAATAAATTAATTTTTCTCGATGAACGAGTTCTGTACAAATTATAAACATGAAAAAAATCTTACTTTTTTGAATGGGAGGGGGGCAGAGTAATGGACGATTTTTCAGTTTTATTTTAGGTTACTCGAAACGCACATATAAACTATTTTTTTTTATTAAATATCATGAAATAAATCGAATTGTTTCTTTCTAGAATGCAGTGTTGCCGATGATGTGGTAACTACCCCATACGGTGGTAATTTAATCCACTTGTGGTACATGATGTGGTATAGTATAAAATATGGTATTTTTGTGGTATTTTTGAAAAAAAAAAAGTGGTATTAAAGAATTAAATTGCAATATTACACTGAAAGTAACAAATTTTTTTTTTTTTTTAATTACCAACCGTGGTTATATAAAATATTCAGACTTCAGCTGTAAACTGTTCTGTGATAATATTATAAATTATAATCAATACCGTGATTACCATTACCAGTTATCACGTTCACATCATTCGTCATTTAATCACCACTAGGTACTATCCACCATAGATATATAAATATAGTAAAATATGTGTCTATATTAAATATTTATATTTTATAATTCAAGTTCTGATAGTTTTCTTTTTATTCAAAAAATATAGTTATAGTTAAATATAGTAAGTTATTATTTGTTCTAATATATTGTTTATTTATTCGTCATATAATAAAAATTATGTTTTATAATTTAAAATACATATTCTTACATCAAGTAAACAAAAGATAAACATTTAAAACTGCTTATACCAGATAGAGTAGGTAGTAATTATAGACTTATACAAGTTTTATAAAAAAAATATAATTTTGGTAGTAATGTAGTAATGTAGTATATGTAATATATGATATTAATACTCGCAAGCGAAAGAAGCGTGTTATATTTCTAAATTCTAATGTGGTATTCAGGGTGGTAATATTGATATGGTATACGTAGTAATTGTTGTAATTTTGTTATCATAAAATGGTAATATGACATTTTGAATTCGGCAACACTGCTAGAAAGGTAAAATATTATTCGATTCATAGAGTAAGATAGAGGCGGCGTTAGCTATCAAAACCATGTATCTATCATAATTGAATCTAATCCGTCGGTAATTGACCCCAATTGAAGAATCCAAGTAAGATAATTTTCTCCGTTAGTCAGCGCGTGTTCAAAGAAAAGTATATATATATATATATATATATATATCACTTTTCATTCATTGAAGACAGCGAAACTAGCGGAGAAAATTATCGTACTTGGACTCTTCAATTGGGGTCAATGACCAACAGATTGGCTTCAGTTTTGATAGCTAATGCCGCCTCTATCTTACTCTATAATTCGATTACACATTTTGATGAAACAAATGATAATGAGTTATGCGACATTCACAGTATTGCCAGCCGTACGGTCCCGGTTGGGGTGGTACGGTAATTTGGCCGTCCGTACAGTCCACGGACGGATCTGTCAAAAACACGAAAAAATATAAATAATTCAATAAAAAATAATAATTAATAATAATAATTAAATAAAAATAATATGGTAATTCTATTTACCGACATGAAGATATTATTCTGAATTCTTGAATTATTTTTAGATATTACACTTTAAGTTTTAGGTTTATACCATATCAATTATTGGTAAATAATAATACTTTACCCTATAATACTAAATATAACTAATACCTTCGTTGTTATTTGTTACGCATTTTATTCACAACGAAACGAGCGTTCGAGGTGTTTATTGTTGCCTCTTAGCAGTTGGTTTATTAGGAATATTCCATACATACTTTTTTATTATTTTATCGCATTTGTTTTGTTGGGTCGATTATCCGTCGGTTTTCTATTTTTTTTTTTTTTTCATAATATTTAATGAAAGTGATTATGACATTGATGCACCTACGACATCAACACCACGTGGTAGAAGCACCTATAAACTTAGTCATATAACACAGAAGTATAGGAAGGAATCAGAGCAGCTACCAAGCTTCAAAAATTGGCTTGGACCAGTGAAAGACATCACTAAAGCTAATTGTTATTATTGCAAACAGAAAATAGTCTCAGAGATAACAACAATAAAAAAACATGCAGCTTTTGCTGCGCATTTGAAAAATGCTAAATCTATTACAGGCAAACCGCTTACTAATTTTTTTAAGAAAGTTGATGAAAATGAGGTTAAAAAATTTGATCGAGTTAAAAGAGCCGAAATATTAATTTGTAATTTCTTATCAGAACACAATATTTCATTTAATACTGCTGATCATTTAACTCAAATCCTAAAAAAAGCATTGCCAGACTCCGATATTGTGAAAAAAATTGTATTGGGTTGGCAAAAAAATTAAAAAACACATCTTTCAGTGTTATAATAGATGAAAGTACTGACGTAGGAACTCTTAAAACGTTATGCATTTGTGTTAGGTACTTACGAAAGTGCAACTACCAGCAAAATTTATACTGAGGTAATTAACTCTTTCAAAAATGAAAGTGTTCCACTTGTAAATATAATCGGCTTTGCATCCGATAGTTGTAATACTATGTTTGGACAGAATCCAGGTGTTTACGGGCCGAAGTCCAGTCAGACGCGCCCCTTCTATGAGTGTTAACTCTTCAAGAGCACGCGTCCCTAACGAGTTAGCAATTCGCCTGACCCGGGCGATTTAGCGCCGCTCCCCGCCGAACTGCCGACTTTCGTACCGTTAAAGCCCCGAGGGAGCCCAGGCGCCCGGTGCTCACCTGGTCCTATCCAGTGAAGCCACAGCCCCGTCGAGTCCAACCTCAGATCTGCCAAAGCAGGACTGGGTGTGGCACGCGTAAGACACACGCTGCCCTGGGCTAA